AAACCTAACAAGAAACCAAATAACCCAATTTAAAAAATAGGCAAAAAGTTGTACACTTCGCCAAAGATGATATACAGCTAGCAAATAAGCAAATGAAAATACGTTCAACATCACTGATCATTAGGGAAATGCAAATTAAAGTCAAGAGATAATATTAAACAGTTATCAGAATGGATAGAATTAAAAAATAATACCAAGTCCTGACAAGGATATGGAGCAACTAGGATATTCACACATTACTACAGCCACTTTGGTGAACAGTTGTGCAGTTTCTTAGGAAGTTAAGCATACACTTACTATGTAACTCTCCAGTTCCACTTTTGTGTGTTTATTCTAGGGAAATAAAAACTTATGCTAACACAAAAATCTGTAAATGAATGTTTATAGTAGCATTATTTATAATTGCCCAAAATGTCCTAAATTAAGGTTGGTTCAACATGTGAAAATTAATCAGTGGAATCTACCATATTAGCAGACTAAACAAGAAGAACTACATAAACTAAATGTCCCTAAGTGAGTGAATGTGGATAAACACAGTGTGGTACATCTTCACAATGGAATAGGACTGGATAAAAAGGAACAAACATTGATATATGCAGTAGCTTCGATGAATCTCAGGTATGTTATGTTAAGCGAAGGAAACCAATATAAAATGGTTAAATACTTACGATTTCATTTATATGACATGCTGGAAAAGGTAAGACTAAACAGACAGTGAACAGATAGATGAGTAGTTGCCCAGAGTTAAAGGTGGGGAGAGGGTCTAACTGCCAGGGAGTAGCACGAGGAAATTCTTTGGATGTTGGAATTGTTCTGTATCCTGTTAATGGTGGTTACAAGTATCTATGCATGTGTTAGAACTCTTAATACTGTACATACATGTGAATTTTACTGTATGTAAATTTGAAAGTAAATTTTACTGAAAATTTTTTTAAGAAAAAAACCAATAGTCTAGAATCTCATTTTAAAAACTCACCCCTGACCTCAGTAATTCCTCCAACTGCTATGCTGTTTGTCTGCTTTCATGTTAAAATATAGTTTATTGTCCTTATTTCCTCACTTCCCAATTCACTTTTTTAAAAAAACCTTTAAAAACATTTAGCAACATAATATGTGCACATGATTAAAAGATCAAATTGTATGTAAGAGTTGATAATGAAAAGCAACAGTCTCCATCCCACCTGCTTTCTCCTCGTTCTGGATCCACATCCCCATAGACAAACACTTTAAACATTTTTTATGTTTAGTTATTTTGGTGATTATTTCTACATTTCTAAATAGTATGCCCATACTGTTTTTTCTCAAATTTATTTATTGTCCTCTGAGTTTCTGCTGTGATAGATGAGGACTCAATTATGACAGCCTCTGCTGCTGGCTGCTTTCTCTACAGATTTCATAAAGTGTTTTTATTTTCTCTTTTGTTTTCTCTTGTAAACCTAAGCAATTAAGCAATATATTTAAACACATATTTCTTGTTCTATCAATATATTTAAACATATTTCTTGTTCTATCACTATCACAAGTTTTAGCACTCTTGATTTCATAGGATGATACTGGCACTCCCTTCCTGCTATCTTTTCTTTTCCTTCTCCATCTTTCATGTCCTGACAGCTCTACCTTTACATTTATAGCA